TCAAAGACAGATGCCCACTCCATCTGCTCTCGGGGACGTCAATGCCACGTGTAGTCACATTGGATCCATCTCGGACTCGCCTCTGGCTCTCTTTGCCCATGTCTCCGGAAGCAGCGTCAGGATGCCGGAGCCCTCGGGACTTGGAGATTAAGGGAGGCCGCTCCTTCACCAAGGAAGGAGGGAAGCGGATGGCTCATCGGTCCGTGCATTTTCAGGCGACAGCACGCCTTGCGGCCCTGGGGATCTCTCTGTGCCCCAGCGAGACCCTTCCTGCCTCACTGCATTGTAACCCCACTCCCGATGACCCGGTCGGATCCATCATCCGATCGGGAGAGGAGTCGGCACAGCCCAGGCGGCACCCTGAAGCTCCTCCTGCACCGGGAACCGAAGCAGAAGACCGATCAAGGAGGTCCGGACGACAGGACTACTACGGGTCCGACCCTGGGTCTCCCGCAGGCCCCTCTCGCAGTCCTCTTCCCACCCGCCGCCTCTGGCTGCGCCGCCATCGCCGACGCCACCGCCACCGCCACGGTCACCGGCGTCTCAGTCCCCGCAGCCGCCGCGTCGCCGACATTTTTTAAAGGGTCCGCAGCCTGACTCTCCGGAGCAAGGGGGCAGTGGGCCCAACCAGTGCGCATGCGCCAGGCGGGAGCGGCGGATTCGGTCACAGTGACCGCCACCGTTGCCCGGGGATGGGTCCCTGAGACTTGGCGAAGTAGGAGCCCTGTGTGATCGTGCGTCCGAGTCGGGGCTGAGATCAGGCCTGGCCGGGGCCCTACCAGGATGGTCTCCGGAGGCCGGGATTCGCGGAGGGTGGAGCAGCAGGAAGAAACCTCGGAGGAAGAAACGTCAGACGGATCGACACGAGGCAGCGCGGGATCCCAGCCTCAGGCGTGCGCGGACGCTGTGCCGGTGAGTCTCCCCAAAAGTGGTGCCCTAGCGATCTAGAGGACAGGTCTGCCTGTGTGCCCGTGGGCTGCTCTCTCACCGCTGGTCGCAGTCGCAGAAAGCAAAACCCGGCAGCTTCAGGGGCTGCCTGGGGGTGGGTGTTACCTGCTGTATGTCCCTGTGTCTTTGGGGGGTGTGTGTGTGTGTGTGTGTGTGTGTGTGTCTGTGCCCACCTCGGTGTCTCTCTTGTTTCTCTCTCTCTCTTTTCTCTGTGTTTCCGTCGCTCTCTCTTCCTATCTCCGTCCGCCTGTGTGTGCGTGTTCGTGGGGACACCTGTGCCCTGTGCGCCGGAGGGTGGTTTCTTGCACGTCGGCCTTTCTTCTGGGCAGCCTCTCCCCGCGACGCTGCCTGGGTCGTGTGGCCGGTTGCCAGTCGTTTTCCCTGCGGTTCCACTTTGGGTTTGGGAAGGCCTGGGCAACGTGGGCATCTGCCTCGGACCCGCAGGGGTTTTCATCCCCTCCCCATCCTGAGCAGCCGCTTTGCTCGGATCAAGACGACCACACCCCAGCCAAGGACAAAGGCCTCCCAGGTGCTCCTTGTCCACCCGCAGGAGGGTGCCCACAGAACTTCAAGAAGACGGTTCTCACTTCTCTCGCCCTTTGCCCTCATTGAGGAATCTAGCCACAGCTCGACACAGGGACGGAGAAGGAAGCCGGCAACGGGATGGGGCACGCATCTCTGTCACTCCAACGCTGGCCTTCCTGGCCCAGTCACCCACTTGGCCCTCCTCCCCTGACGCCCGTGGTGGTGGCATTGCGCCGTCTTCCTGACTGGGCTCTGGCCTCTGCTCTGTCCTCCCTCTTGCTCTGTCTGCCCTGTTTCTGAGAAGCCTAGGGGTTTCTTCGTGTGGCTCAATGTCTTCAACAAAGAAGACTTCCCAGTCCATCAGGGAGGAACTTCGTGGGGGTCCGTGTCATGATTGTTTCCCTCTCCAAACCTATTTCTGGATGATGGGGCAGCTGTGGTGATCCTGGAGCTCTGGGCTTCCATGCCTGTCTGGGACAGGGAAGCTTTCTGGGTCTCCATGGCCCAAGTGATGGTTGCGTGGTCGGTCCAGGAAGAGCGGCAGGCAACCCGACCGTTCCTGACATTTGCCTTCTAGGAAAGGCGGTGTTGCATCCCACCTGCACTTCCCTCTGATTCTTGAGGACCATCCGCTTCCTCTGCTCCTGGGGAAAGCGCCTTCTAGCACTGAATCTTTTGGCTGCCACGGATGTCAAGGAGCCAAAGGGACTGGGTTTTGCTGGGTGTAGGGGAGGTGGCGTCATGGGTACCTAGCCGGTGGCGGGGTGGGGGCGGGGGGTGCTTTGTGGAAACCTCTCGGACGGACCCTCTGGCAGGCATCCCCGAACGTGGCTTGGACTCGGGCACAGGCCCTGTCTTGCAGGTTTTCAGGTGTGCTTGGCTTTTCCTCAGCTTGGTCGGGGAGGTCTCCCGTGGCCCCCGGGCGCAGGGCTGGACGTGACTGTCCGTCTCGCCATCGCCCCCTACTGCCTCAAAGACACACGCTCGCTCCATCTGCTCTTGGGGGACGTCAGTGCCTCGTGTGCTCACACTGGCTCCACCTGGGACTCGCCTCTGTCTCTCTTGGCACGTGTGGCGAAAAGCAGTGTCGGGGTGCCGCAGCCCCCGGGCCTTGGAGATGAAGGCAGGCCAGTGCTCTAGCTGGGAAGGAGGGAGGCAGTGGGCTCCTGGGTCGGTGCCTTCTCAGCCGTCAGTGAGGCACGCCTTGAGGCCCTGGGGATCTCTCTGTGCCCCAGCGAGACCCTTCCCACCTCACTGCATTGTAACCCCATTCCCGATCACCCGGTCGGTGGGATCCATCATGGGATCCGAAGAGGAGTCCGCACAGCCCAGCCGGCACCCGGAAGCTCCCCGTCCACCGGGAACCGAAGCAGAAGACCGATCAAGGAAGTCCCGACAACAGGACTCCTACGGGTCCGACCCTGGGTCTCCCGCAGGCCCCTCTCGCAGTCCTCTTCCCACCCGCCGCCTCCGGCTGCGCCGCCATCGCCGCCGCAACCGCGGCCGCGGCCACGGGCGTCCCAGTCCCCGCAGCCGCCGCCTCGCCGACATTTTTTAAAGGGTCCGCAGCCTGACTCTCGGGAGCAAGGGGGGAGGTCGGCGCGACCAGTGCGCATGCGCGAGGCGCGAGCCGCCGCTTCGGTCACAGTGACCGCCACCGTTGCCCGGGGATGGGTCCCTGAGACTTGGCGAAGTAGGAGCCCTGTGTGATCGTGCGTCCGAGTCGGGGCTGAGATCAGGCCTGGCCGGGGCCCTACCAGGATGGTCTCCGGAGGCCGGGATTCGCGGAGGGTGGAGCAGCAGGAAGAAACCTCGGAGGAAGAAACGTCAGACGGATCGACACGAGGCAGCGCGGGATCCCAGCCTCAGGCGTGCGCGGACGCTGTGCCGGTGAGTCTCCCCAAAAGTGGTGCCCTAGCGATCTAGAGGACAGGTCTGCCTGTGTGCCCGTGGGCTGCTCTCTCACCGCTGGTCGCAGTCGCGGAAAGCAAAAACCCGGCAGCTTCAGGGGCTGCCTGGGGGTGGGTGTTACCTGCTGTATGTCCCCGTGTCTTTGTGGGGTGGGGTGTGTGTGTGTCTGTGTGTGGGTCTCTGTGCCCACTTAGGTGTCTCTCGTTTCTCTCTCTCTGCCTTCTCTGTGTTTCTGTCGCTCTCTCTTCCTATCTCCGTCCGCCTGTGTGTGCGTGTTCGTGGGGACACATGTGCCCTGTTCACTGAGGAGCAATTTCTTGCACATAAGCCTTTCTTCTGTTCAGCCTCTCCCCATGCCTGTGTGTGGGTGGTGTGGCCGGATGTCAGTCGTTTTCCTGGCATTTCCAGTTTGGGTTTGTGAGGATCTGGATGAGGTGGGGAGTGTAGTTGATCTTGTAAGGATTTAAATCCCCCCTACACCCTAAGAGGTGTCTTTTCCAGGATTAAGGCAGTGATACCTAATTTTTGTAAGATAGCCTAGGTTTGTTATATATGATAAAGCTGTCATTCATGTCAGAGTATCTGAAAATTCTTCCCAATGCCCTTGACATACATGATTAATAACATTCCCAAAATAACATACCAAAAGAAACAAGAGGAAATCATTTGTTACTTAGTTCCTTTAAATTTGTTTATTCAAATTGTGGTTCTTTCGTGCACTACCTTTTTTTGGTTTTTTTTTTGAGACGGAGTCTCACTCTGTCATCCAGGGCAGTGCAATGATTCCCTCTCGGCTCACTGCAACCTCTGCCCCCTGGGGTTCAAGTGATTCTCCTGCCTCAGCCTCCTGAGTAGCTGGGATTACAGACGCCAGCCACCACACCCAGCTAACATTTGTATTTTTAGTAGAGACAGGGTTTCCTCAGGTTGGCCAGGCTGGTTTTGAACTCCTGACCTCAGGTGATCCACCTCCCTCGGCCTCCCAAAGTGCTGGAATTACAGGCATGAGCCACCACACCCGGCCAAACGAAACATTTCATGTGTTTCTTGCAGTCTTTCAGCCACAGATTTCATCTTAAGTATTACAATGCTTATGCCCTTTAATTAATTTTTCCTACATATTTTGATAAAGAGTTACACTGAGGCTGGGCCCAGTGGCTCACACCTGTAATCCCTCCTCTTTGGGAGGCTGAGGCTGGCGGATCACAAGGTCAAGAAATCCAAGACCATCCTGGCCAACATGATGAAACCCTACCTCTTGAAAAATCCAAAGAATTAGCCAGGCAAGGTCAAGCACTGGCTCATGCCTGTAATCTCAGCCCTGTGGGAGGCTGAGGCAGATGGATCACAAGAGGTTAGGCGTTCAAGACCAGCCTGGCCAACATGATGAAACCTTGGCTATACTAAAAATACAAAAATTAGACCCTGAAGGTCACGTCCGAATGAGAAAGACATTAACTGACACTAAGAAACAATGCGGTGTCTCACACTTGTAATCCCAGCAGTTTGGGAGGCCGAGGCGGGTGGATCACCTGAGGTCAGGGTATCGACACCAGCCTGACCAATATGGTGAAACTCTGTCTCTACTAAAAAAAAAAAAGTACAAGAACATTAGCTGGTCATGGTGGCACACACCTGTAAATCCCAGCTATTTGGGAGGCTGAGGCAGGAGAATCGCTTGAACCCTGGTGGCAGAGGTTGTGGTGAGCAGAGGTCAGCCTATATCAAGCTTCTCCTTGTTCTATGTGTGAACAGCTAGTCTGTATCTTCACCGAAGCATATTTAAAAATCAACCTTAGGAAGGCCCTTGGCCACCATAATCCTTCCACACCAGCAAGAGCCCAGCCTCTGAGACTAGGCGTGCTTCCGCTTCCCACTGGAATGCCTTCGCCCGGATCTCCAAGGTACCAAATTCCTCAGGGGCAGCTGAGACAGCCCTACTTCTGGGAGTCCTCCCCAACCACTTGAAATCACAGGCATCTCTGCTGTCCCTGCCCTTCATCCACATCACTGAACAATTCATTGCACACATCTCTGTACTTTTATTTAAACTGTTCCATGTGTGTTTACAATTAACTACTGCATGAATGACTGCGGTATGGATGGAGCAGAAAGGAATGCTGAGGGAGGACCCCTGTTCGAATGAGCCCCTCTTCCAGAACGAGAATGAACTTTCCCCAGTACCAACAAGGCAGCCTCTAGGGCAAGAAAAGGTAATGGGATCCATCCTGCTGACATCCAAGATGGAATTACAGGTAACTCTCACCTTTTGACTCTCAGGTGGAAACCCCTTCTCCACAAGGTGAAGCAGAGTCCGTGCCACAGCCCCACAGTTGGGGTCGGGGATGTCACAGAAATCACCAGGGCAGCCAATTCCCATCTAGAGGGGGCCCAGGATGACCCAGCACCCTCAAGCTCAGCCCCAAGCTCGGGCCAGGGAGTGAAGCCCTTGTCCCCAAGCAACAGAGTGAGGGTTTGTCTCTAACCCTGTGGGCTCCAGTGAAAGGAAAATGGCCTGGAGGTGCCCACAGGAGAGCACCCGAGTTCTGAGACAGATCCATGGCTCCCAGCCTGAGTCCCCATGAGTAACAGGGATGCACAGAGGGGCATGCTGCCTGCCTATAGGGCACTCACGGAACGCAGCTGCATGCTGTGGATCCTGAAGCTGGTCAGGTAACGAGGTGCAGAGGTGTGGGGAAGACCTGGAGGGAGGCCTCCCCAGATGCCAACCAGCCTAACCAACCGGGGCCACCGATATTAACAGGACACACGGAAGGTGTGTAGGGTGGGTAGTGGATGTAACCGCAGAGGCCTCTGGGGATTGTAGTTTTGGAGCTAGAGAGGCAGGCAAGCAGTTGGCTTTGCCCACACAGGATGCCTCGGACATCTGCACAGCGCACACAACCAAGCTTAGGAGCCCACTGTTAAGATGCCCAAGTGACGTTGACAAGTTTCTCCTCTGCAAGCCAATGAGATCTGCTGGCTGTCAGAGCATCACGGGACGGCTGAAGGATTCTGGAAAATGTGGTCCCAGGTGGCCACTGTGTGCTGACCTTCACCTGCAGGTGAGCTGAGCTCACCATACAAGTCTCCGCCCTGGTGCGCCCTCCCCGAGCAGACGCCAGGTTGGGGCAGAAGTGGCTCAGGGAGAGGTGATGCTCTCTCAGGGCTCCCGGTTTGGGGGTGACACCACCCCTGTGTCCCATAGAGTAGGAGGGTGTACCAGGATAGGAAACCCCAAGGCTGTTTTCAGGGACAGCAAGATTGGCTTGGGGAAAACTCCCAGAATGGAGATGGGGAGAGTCTGGTCACATTTCCCCAGGTGGGGGATGCTGGCTGGACTTGGGTGAAGAGCAAAAAGATCCCCTGGTGATAGTGGTGGTGAGGATCGGAGGCTTGAGCCAGAAATTCCCAAGGTGTTTGTTTTGTTTTGTTTTTGTTTCTGAGACAGAGTCTCCCTCTGTCTCCCAGGCTGTAGTGCAATGGCGCTATCTCGGCTCACTGCAACCTCAGCCTCCCAAGTAGCTGAGATTACAAACACCTGCCACCATGCCCAGCTAATTTTATTTTTTTGTATTTTTAGTAGAGATGGTGTTTTGCCACATTGCCCAGCCTGTTCTCAAATTCCTGACCTCAAGTGATCCACCTGCCTTGGCCTCCCAAAGTGCTGGGATTACAGGCGTGAGCCACTGTGCCCAGCTCATTTTTATCTTTTCTCTTATAGGTTTTTATTTTTATCTTACAGGTTCGACTTGAAGGAAACTTCTCGAGGGTTGGGTGGAGGGTGGGGTAGTGTTGAAGAGAAGGCACAATTGTAACCATTTTGTTCAACATGGGTGTTTTCTTTATGCATTAATTTGTATTTTAAAATATATTACATTAAAAATTTATCTTGATTACCGAGTTTTTCTGGTGCCCCTTTAAATTCTCTATCAAGTCCTGAGCCTTGATAGGAAGTGAGGGCCTGGCCTCTGGGCATCAAGCAGCCAGAAAGTCCCTTAGGAGCTTTCTCTGAATTGTTGAATTGTGAGTGATCTTTTCCTTTCCTGACTTCCTTAATATCCACAATTTCCTTGTAACCATCCCTCCAAGCCACACCCACAAGGCACCTCCAAGACCTATCATGAAGCAGATATTCAAAGATGATTTGTATGGCCAGGCGCGGTGGCTCAGGCCTGTAATCCCAGCACTTTGGCAGGCCTAGGTGGGTGGATCACGAGGTCAGGAGATCAAGACCATCCTGGCTAACTAACATGGTGAAACCCTGTCTCTACTAAAAATACAAAAAATTAGCCGGGCCTGGTGGCGGGCGCCTGTAGTCCCAGCTACTCTGGAGGCTGAGGCAGGAGAATGGCATAAACCCGGGAAGCAGAGCATGCAGTCAGCTGAGATCACGCCACTGCACTCCAGCCTGGGTGACAGAGCGAGACTCTGTCTCAAAATAAATAAATAAATAAATAAAAGATTATTCGTAAATCTTCACACCCCACCCGTTCCAGAATGTCTTCCAACATCCCCTTGCCTGGAGAAGTAAAAAACAAGGTTTGCATGTTGAGTATCAGCCTCTCCCACTGGGTGGGTGTTTAGGAAGGAGGATCAGTCGAGAACCCTATTCCAGCCCAGGTAAATGACCTGCCCAAAGATTTAATTTCCACAAATGTAGAATGCTTGTAACAGAACTCAGCGGGAACCAAAGTCAGGCATGGCACTGGGCTTTAAGGAGCACAAATGAAAAGGAGGGACTAGAAAACTTCAGAAAGGTATTGGCGGGGGGCGTGGAGGGGATGGGACAGTGAGGATGTGGGATCCCGGGATAATCCAAATCCCTGTGTGGAGACCTATGTGTACAAAGGCTGTAAAGAGAGACCCAGGCTGATGGGGTATCTGTAATAAATCAAATATAATATAACAGGAGGTCAGGTGATAAGGGGACCCTGGAAAAACAGAACAAGCAGCAAAAGGAGCAGCATCAAACTCCATAGAAATTCACAAACATCAAGACACTAAGAAAGCTGCATTCATTTAAATCAAGGTGACAGTCTGGGCGCGGTAGCTCACGCCTGTAATCCCAGCACTTTGGGAGGCCAAGGCGGGCAGATCATTTGAGGTTCAAGACCAGCCTGGCCAACGTGGTGAAAGCTCATCTCTACTAAAAATATAAAAATTAGCCAGGTGTGGTGGCGGGTGCCTGTAATCCCAGCTACTCAAGAGGCTGAGGCAGGAGAATCACACGAACCTGGGAGGCGGAGGTTGTAGTAAGCAGAGATCACGCCATTGCACTCCAGCCTCGGGAGAGCAAAACTCCATCTCAAATAAATAAATAAATCAAAGGTGACAGTTACTGAGTGCTGTGGGCCAGGTACAATGATACACCCTCAAATGTGTTACCCTCATAAATTTGAATCACTTGTGATATCTCTGCTTTAAGGAGTTCTATTTCCCACACTCTTAGCTGGCTTGAGATGTGGAAATCCACCTAAATTATAAACAGTGAAAAAAAATAGTGGTGCCCATCCAGGGAACATGTCTAGTTAAAATTAACAACATAGATAAAAATCAGCAAAAGGAAATTTTAAAAATATTTTTTGAAATTAAAAGCCATATAAACCAATGTGTCACTGATGAGTTCAAAGAAGAAACTGACCTGCAAACCAGGAGATACATGGGAAGAAGCAATAGTGAAAATGCTTCAGATCTAAACCTGTGGAATGAGGCTACCTCAGTGTCCAAAAATATCACTTAAATATAGTGCCAACGGGCGGGGTGCGGTGACTCAGGCCTGTAATCCCAGTATTTTGGGAGGCCGAGGCGGGCAGATCACTTGAGGTCAGGAGTTCAAGACCAACCTGGCTGACATGGTGAAACCCCATCTCTACTAAAAATACAAAAATTAGCTGGGTGTGGTGGCGCGCATCCATAATCCCGGCTACTTGGGAGGCTGAGGCAAGAGAATTGCTTGAGCCCAGGAGGCGGAGGTTGCAGTGAGCCGAGATGGCACTACTGCACTCCAGCCTGGGTGATAGAACAAGACTCTGCCTCAAAAACAAACAAAAAATTTCCAATGAATAAACTACCTACCAAGACTTATAGAATGAGACTAAAACCATGGATGGAGGAAAACTTTTAGCCTGAAAGTAGCCTAAGATTTAGAAATTACGGCAAAAAACTAAGGAGTAAGCAGTTACCCTTCAGGTTAGAAAACCAACAGCATAACAGGAAATGAGAGAGGGAAGAAATAATCAGATGGGGCTGGGATGGGGGCTTATGGGGATGAAGGAGGCAGGAAGAGCATGTGAAGTCTGTGCATAAAGTCACTCCCTAAGGACAGTCCCTGAGAGGAAGCTAGACGCACAAGGATCGGGCTAGGTGGAGAAGGTGGAGAAGACAATCCTGGAGGGTACATTCAGGGGTTGACGGCGATAAGAAAACAGGAGGGAAAGTCAAGTGTGGAGCCTTTCCTGTCCCTAGCATGGAAGACATCAGGAGCTGATGAGTGGAAGTGATAAACAGCATTCTCACCACAAAAAAAGGTCAAGGATTTGAGGTAACGGATAGATTAATTTGATTCTTATTCCACACTGTATTGAAAAATCACATCATTTTATACCCCATATACAATTTAGAAGATAGGTAAAAATCAGCAAGAAAAAAATGAAAAACTATTCTTTGAAGTATTTTTAAAACATGCAATTTATGGGGTGCAATCTAATTCATCTATCTATATATATATCTTTTTTTAAAAAAAAAAACAGGGAGTCAATAAACACAGGAAACAGCGCCTTGGGAGAGAAGGAAAATGGGCACAATCTGCCCTTAGAAAGACACAGCGTTTAAATCCACGCATGTGAGAAATCCAGGGTTCAAGATAAGACAGGGATCAGTCAAGAACAGCCGGCTTATCAACTATAGCCACAGGGTGGCGCCAACACCCACTGCTCCGGCCTGAGCTGGCCAGAGAGAACATTCAAGTAAAACTGGGACATCCCAGAAGGCCTGAGACCTGCAGGTCCCACCATTGAAGTCCAGTGAGGGAGGAAGATCCAATGTGAGGTGAAAAAATACCATAGAGGTGTATTGAAATGAAATAATAGTTATTAAATAGTCATTGTACTTCAGGTAAAAGTAGGTAAAATGACAGAAAATGAGAGGAATGAGCAAGACACCATAGACATGTAATGATGGACAATAAATGACATGATGTGGAGAGTTTGCCCACACGTGCAGACTTTATATCTGCCTGCAACACCCCGTAGAGATGATTACACAAACTGCACTGACACTGTGAAGTCAACGAGGAGATAAAAGTAAAAATCAAATAGTTATGGAGAGGGTTGGTCTGTGTAGTGGGAAACCCTCCAGAACACGCACACGGCATCTCCCCTCCCTTCTGAATACCATGCAGAGCCCGCAGCAGCAGATGGCAAATCACAGCCTGGGCCACCCTTCCCAGAATGTCACAAACATGGACATGCAGACCACAGAACTCACCAGATACCCAAGCTGGGTGGCACTGGGCTCTGAAAGCCATGCTTCAAGTCAGAGGGACTAGAAACCTCCCCGAGGGAGCAACAGGGATCGGGGATTCTAGGAGGATCCAGGGCCTGTGCAAAGACCAAGCAGTGAGCGGACGTGTGTGTCAGTGATTCGGTTGGCATGAACTCAACACCATCTAACACTGCAGCTCACATTTCTGTGTGCATCAGACTCACCTGGGGGCTTGTTAAATACAGAGTGTTGGGTCTCACCCCTAGAGTTTCTGCTTCAGTATTCTGGGGAGCAGCCTGTGAATCTGTATTTCCAGCATGATTTTCAGGGCTACCGATAACTGTTGGCCCAAGGACCACACTATGACCTAATTTAACACCAGGTTAGGGGAGGTACTAAGGAGCAAAAAGCAACAGAAGAAGGGCCCTGAGGCCTGTAGGGGCTTCTCTGTAAACTCCTCAAACATAAAAGCCTTCAAGGCTCTCAAAGAGCATTTACAGCATCATGTCTACAAATACAAGGTACCAGGCAGGAAGAGTTCCATCAAGCAGAGAGAAGAGCCCACTGAGTGTCCCTGTCTTAGTCCGTTTGTGTTGCTGTAACAGAATACCACAGACTGGGTGATTTATAAGCAAAAGTTCACTTGGTTTACGGTTCTGGACACTGGGAAAGTGAGGGGCCTGCATCTGGTGAAGGTCTTGCTGTGCTGTCCTATGGTGGAAGGTGGAAGGACAAGAGAGTGACCACATGTGAGAGGGAGAAAGGGAAAGAGAGAAAGGGAGGAAGCCAACCTCATCCTTTTATCAGGAACCCACTCCTAAGACATCTAACCCACTGTGCTTCATCCGTTCGTGAGGGTGGAGCCTTTACCACCTAATCACCTCTTGAAGGCTGCACTGGTCATCGCTGTTGCCTTAGGGGTTGAGTTTCCCACACATGAACTTCGGGGAACACACTCAAACCACAGCAGTCCTCATGGAAACCTTCCAGAAAATCTGCGTGCCTGGCACTCCGGAATCCCTCTTTTCCACCCCTTCTCCCTGCAACTCTAACATCGTGTCCCCTCATCATTTTCCATTCGAGCATAGGAAAGAACAGAGTCACTACACCCATTTCTTATGAACCTTTCCTACATTAAAATAATCACTCAGATAGAAATTTGTAAACATAAATTTTCATTTTTGATATGAGCGAATATTAAATTATTATTTTTTTTTTTTTGAGGAGTTTTGCTCTGTGGTCCAGGCTGGAGTGAAGTGGCGAGATCTCTGCTCACTGCAACCTCCGCCCCCAGGTTAAATCGAATCTCTTGCCTCAGTCCCCCAAGTAGCTGGGATTATAGGCATGCACCACAACACCCGGCTAATTTTGTATTTGTAGTAGAGATGGGGTTTTCCCATGTTGGCCAGGATGGTCTCGAA